CAACTTAAATATTTAGGTAGCTACCTAAATATTTAAGTTGTAACCTAAATATTTAGGTAGCTAGCTAAACATTTAAGTTAAATATTTAGGTAGCTAGCTAAATATTTAAGCACTGAAAAAAATTAAAAAAGGAATTCTAACGTTAATCTCACTCTGAGATTAAAGTCAGAATTACTTTTTTCCCCAGTGGTCCTAATCCTCTTCCACCAGGAGTGGATTTGAACTTTTGCACACATGGATCAGAGGACAGATTGTCGTCTTGTTCTGCTTCAGTCAGTTTTTGTGTTTTTTAAAGTTTTCTTTTGACACGTTGGAATCTCCTTTTTTTATTTTGAAGCTTTTTGTCTCTTTTTTTTCTGAGCAGCTGAAGTTTTTAGCTGCTTTAGTCTCTCAGGTGGATCAGTTTTCCCGCTCTTCTCTTCTCCTGCTCTCCAGCGAACGCAGAGAAATGGGGGGGGGACGACACCCTCGGGGGGACACCCTCCTCTCTGACGGCACGCCTCCTGTTTGGCTCCAGGCGGAGGTGTGTGTTGGTGTGACGTGTTGTCGTGTTGTCGTGTCGTTCATCATGGAGGACGTCAGCACCTCCTCGCTGCTCCTGCCCTCTCCGTACGCTCCTCACTCTTTCAGCTGCTTCGGCCGCATCCCCCCCCCCTCCCTGAGCCCAGAGATCAGCTGACCTTTAACCTTTCAGGTTTCAACTAAGACACGTCTTCCACATATTATGATGAATAACAAGAATAAAAAACGATTCTCCTGAAACTTTATCAAACGATGCAGTTTGAATCACAGTTTCAGTGAAATGTGGGTACGCGCTCAACGTAAACAAAAACAAAAACCATGTGACCGTCCTGCATCAGGCCGTTTGTAGTTTGTGTCGTAATAAAGCTGGAAGTTTATGACGTCAGAGAAGACACTCAGGTGGAAACAATTTTACTGTTTGAGTTTGTTTTCAACCGATCTGCAGATTTAACTCAACAAATCTGAGCTTTATTAAACCAGACTTATTTATTAAAACATCAAACTGTGACAGAAGGAGCGTCTTTCTCTGCTTCAGACTCTAAACTTAACTTTAAACTGAACTTTATCTGAACTTTTCTCACTGTCAGAGGAACTCAGAGATGAAGCAGCTGAAGCGTGTAGTTCAGGTTTTCACCACACGATGGCGCCATTTAATCATTTTCTGACTTTTCCCGCGTCTGCCGCGATCAGCGCGGGAAACAGAGCCTGTTATTTATAGTGATTATTATCAGGATTGTATTTTATTAATATTTACAGTCATCAGTGACTCGCAGAAGGAAAAAAAAACGTTTTTATGAGTTAATAAACATTTTTAGACCTGAAGCTCAAACAGATAATGGATCTGCTGCACCTGACTGATTATTTGTCTTTTTACACTCGAAACATTTCAAACAATTAGTAATAAATATTTTTATTGTGTTCGCACTGTTCTGATTGCTGCTCTTTCTTTTAATCAGTCGTTAAATAAAATTTTATTTTAACCCCGTGTGGCTTTTATTCTGTGAGAAATAAAAGAAAATAAATACAAACACGATGAAAACGTCGTCATATTTTCTTCTGCAGATTTTTTTTAATGTGGAAAAATGTTTTTTTTTTGTTTCACTTCAGTAAAGTGAGCAGCAGGTCTAAAGAAAATTAAAACAGATTAAAAATAAAATTAGCTTTTTTTAGCCTTCAAAACAGCCACTGTCCAGAAA